ATCAAAATGGAGGAGTTTTGCACACATTACAATTAGCTCCCATCCATGCAAGTATACATATATGCCAGTCTGATAAATATGTATATTTTCCCATATGGTGTTGAATGTTAGCTTCTAATTTACCTCTTAATTTTTAATTAATTTTAAATTACATTCTAAATTAAGCCAACAGGAGTCTAATTTGCATGCTTATTTGCATATCTGTAAACACACTGCTTGCATTGTTTATCTAGTCCTGGTCCCCATGACATAGAGAAGTTTTCTCACCCCATGCAGTGAACTGGGGCCACTGAAACATCAAGGTCCCCTCTAAGACTAACAGAGATGATTCTGATCCAGAATGGATGATGCTGGCTCCCCCTTCTCCACAGTGGCTACAAAGGATTCTGAGAGGCCAAGGTCAATGATAGTAGTTAAGCCCTCTGCTTTTTCAGAAGGCTAATGATATGTGCTACATCTTTAGAAAATAAAACTTTTTGCACACTTTAGATTTTTAAAACATATAATGCCCACAATTCCTGAATTATTAATACCAAATCAGAAAAAAAGTCACACCCTGTTTCTCTGGCTTGATGAGTTCCTAACCCAACCAGAAGAAGGCAGCACAGAGCCAGGCAGTTCCCTCTGCAAGCAATAGATAAGGATTTTTTTTTGTCTGAACAGGCTGTCCTCTAGGGGCACAAATGGCCACTCTGTGGTCTGTTGGTACCTTGTCTTTTGATCTCAAAATACCACACATGCAACTCCAGTCAATCAATATACAAGCAACCTCAAAGACCCTGGAAGGCTGACAAACGGTTTGGGATTCAAAGAGATTTTGTTGCCTTCTTGCCCACGAACTACACCAACAGACAAGACTGCAAACAGACTTCTCCTCCCTGGAAGTACGATAATTTTCTTCTTTATTAGTGGCTTCAATAAGCTAAGGTAACATTTTCCTGCGATTAGTAAAGCGAACACCATACTGCAGGCTGATAGAAGCTTAGTGATCATGCTTAGGGTCAAACCCATCCAATTCCTAATCCCAGCTTTTCTACAGTCCAGCAGTGTGACCTTGAGCAAGTTCCCTAACCTCTCTAATGTTTAGTATCTCCATCTGACAAATAAAAATATTAGAAGTGATTATATTTTAGGGTTTCTGTAAAGACTAAACAAGACAGAAATCTCCCAGAACATCTTGCCTTATTTTCCCTTCTTTTCCAGTAGAAACAGACACCAAGTCCCAACCCAAGCAAATGTTAAAATGGGGCACCTCATGGCAGGTAAAGAGAACAGACCAGACCTTTGGAAATTGTGCACAGTTCTCTTGATCTTTATTCTACTAAGACCACCTGCTTTCTTGTTTCTATAAACTTTCACAGCTGCCCTATCGGGAGGTAGACTTTCTCTTTCAGCTACGTGTTTATCAAAATCAAGCCAGCCCTCAGTAGACCAAATATAATATTAAATGTGTCAAGATGATGGTCTTTACAGATGATGGTCTTTACAGCTGGACTGTCATCATGCAATCAATCAATCAGCCACAAGAACAGCAACACTTCCCCTGCAAAGAGCAGAAAAATGTTCTTCTGAAATAGCCAGGAAGCATTTACATCAAACATTGACTGGGGTTCAAGTTGTATACTTGGTCATCTGCACAGCGAACAGGGACTGCACATGGGGGCCTGCTTAATGCCCCTTTAAGGGGGAATAATGCTACGCTCATTGACTCTAACTCACAACCAAGTATTTGAATCAACCAGCAGGAATGTATGCAATTAGATGTAAAAATGTAAATATTCGAGAGAAATCACAGCAAAGATAAAAGAAGGTACATGAGATCAGATGGATAAATAGCTCACTGAAATGCACATCATGAGACCATACAATTAGCAAAATTGGAACCCCAGTCCAATTCTAAGCTTCTAAATATTCTAAACAAAAAGATTATTTAATCTGTTAAAGAGATACACTCTGCATAAAATAAAGCAATACCTGTTGTCCAGAAAAGTAATGTTTTTAGGTACTAAAGTCTTAGAGACATATCTCCCATGGTCTACACAAAGGGAAATCTATGAGTTTGAAACTACTTACCTACAAATTTATCCCATATCTCTACACCCTTTAAATGGATAAAAGACTCAAAATTAATCTCTCCGTCCTCTCTGCTCCTGTAGCATTTTTTGCTCTCTATAATGGCACTTATACAGACTGCCTGGTTTCAGAGAAAGGATCACGTCTTGAGTACTCTAGGGCTATGGTGTACTGCTGTCCAGGCTGTGCACTGCATTTACCTAGACTATGGTGAGTGGTGCCCCCTTGGGGCTGTATGATGCAGCTTACAGCACCCAGCACAGTACCTTGCCTATAGAAAGCAGTTAATGTTTTCTTTATTATCTGAACATAGTAGATACAGAAAGGCAGTAAATGTAGTGGTTATGCACATGGTCACTGCCCAGATGTAAATTCTGCCTCTTTTACTTGCTCACTTGGGCAAGCTACCTAACCTCTTGGCATCTCTATTCCACATCGATAATATGGTTATAGTAAAATTATACACCTAATAGGATGGAATACATCTATACATATAAACAACTTAGAACAGTCTCTGGTACAAACATTCAGCATTAGTATTATCAGAGATTATCCCAATGCAGAAAATATCCAAGTAGACTTCTATTTTAATGTTCTTAATGGGATACTCATATTGTTACACTCTTCCTAAAAAGCACCTTTTAGGTAGGAATACTGCAGTGACACAATGCTAATGGCAGTCTGTATTTCTAAAAGGATACAATAAGAGTAGGCAAGGAGATTAATCATGCTGATCACCTACTAGATGCCAGGCTCGGAGCAGATATGTCACACATCCAGTCTCATTTATTCCTCACAAATGTCCTGTAAGAGGAGATTTCTTCATGCCCTAGAACAGCCTCTGAGTGCAAACTGTATCACATCCTCAGTAATCATCAGTCCACCACCAGTCAATACAGAACAGGTCCCTACAAACTCCCTCCATATATCTCTGCATCTCCAAGGCTGTCACACAGGGCTGGACAACAAAAACCATTGGTCAGATACCTCTTGGCATCTGCCAGATAGCACTGCCCCTTCTGCTTGGCATAGATCACTAAGGAATGACTGCCCGTTCTGCTGACTGCTTCTACATCTACCCAGCACTGCCCCTTTGCTGGGCTGTGTCCTCGCTCCTATGTGCCAGTATACACACCAGGCACCACCACCACTGGCAGGCTCCCTTGGCACCTCCCTCTGGGCACCAGCTACCCACCAACTGGCGATGCTACCTCCCTTGCATTGTTGCATTGTTGAATTCTAGTAGGGGAATGTTGAAGGAATGTCTCTCTCCATTTGGGGTTATTGAACTCTCTCAGAAAAACAGCAGAACAGGAATTTGTGCCTTGATGACTCCCATTTCATAAGAAAACACCTTCGAGATTTCTTACATTCAGCCTTGTCTGTTCCCACAACCCAGACAAGTGGGGGCTAGGCCAGGGATATACCCAGAATAGTAGGCTACACAAAGAATTGCCCTTCCCTCTGGATCCTGGATTTCTACCAATGGTCTAGCTGCTACAAGGTATTTTAGAGTTTGGAAAATATTTGAGGGCACCACAGTTGCTTTATTAATTAAAAAAAAGATTTCTCCCTAATATATCCGTGTCTACAGTCATGATAGAAAATATGCAAATAAATACTACATTTACCGAAGTGTTACTGTACCCCATGTTGTAAAGAATAATCACATCCTCAAGGTCGGGGTAATACAAAGATTGTGTGATAAAGACAAAGCTGGGAATAACAGAGTAAATATTGACTCTGAAAATAAATATACGTGGGTTTTATTCTAGCTCTATATGCCTTTGGGCACATCACTTCACCTCACTTTCAATATCTATAAAACTTGAATTAATAATATTAACCTTGTACAATCTGAGATGCAGAATTACTGTGCATGAAATGCCTGACATACAGTAGTTGCTCAATAAATGGTAATTTTTCTTTCCATTACCAACACTGTGTAAATTTTCTCCAGATATGGGCTTTGAGAGCCCTAGGTCATGAGAAGTGGGAGGCAGCTAAATAACAATATTTGCTCCGCAATTATTTGTTGAATGTCTCCCATCTGTAACCCTGTGGTAGTTCATGAGGATACAATGGAGAATGAGATCAACAAGGTTCCTTTTCACAGAGCCTTCATCCTAGGTGGGAAGATATAAAATAAACAAGTAAATTAATGAGTAAGTGACAGTATTACAAACTGTTACTAGTACTCTAAAGTAAATATATCAAAATTGTTAACATAGATAATGGGAAGTCTGAAAAGAGCTTTAAATCCAGGGGTGAAATGACCTAAATGATAGTTCTAACAGATCATTGTGACAGCTTGGGGCAACTAGATTGGAAGAATGCAAATGTGAGGGGCGTCTGGGTGGCTCAGTCGGTTAAGCATCTGCCTTCGGCTCAGGTCATGGTCTGAGGGTGATGGGATCCAGCCCCACGTAGGGCTCCCTGCTCAGCCGGGGAGTCTGCTTCCTCTCTCTCTGCCCCTGCTTGTGCTCTCTCGCTCTCAAATAAATAAAACCTCTTAAAAAGGAGAAGGCAAATGTGAAAATTAGCACATAAAAGTCACTCTACTCTGCTACAAGAGGACAACATATGATTGACTTCAAAATAGTCTTCAAAATGATAAATTAACAATTTCTATTTGTAAGAGGTGTACCATTCAGATTCTTAGGGTGCAAAAAAGGTTCTTTGTTATGGGTACTGGTTAATGAACAAGTTCCTGTCTCCAGCCTGAACCATGGGACGATACAACAGAAGTCTCCAAAGTCACTGATGAAAGAAGGTTGTGCCACATTTGGAATCAAGAGATTTAGAAAGCTTCCAGGAGCCTCAGGGCCCAGATTTCAGACGGTGAAGGAGGAGAAGAGAATGAGCAATGCCAGCTAGGTCTTTCTGTAAGGAAGAACCAAGACCAGCTCTTACCAAAAAGCTGAGCATGGCCATTTGATTTCCATTAGCACCATCAAAGTCTCTCCATCTCAAGGACAATTTGTCACACTCTGAGAAGGCCCCTGCCTATGAATTGGACTTCTGTGAGAGAGATGTGGCAGAGAAAACTGTGTTAGATCTGTGAATGTGTATCCATCCACACACAAATGTTATATATATATATATATATATATATAGTACATATGATCAACTTAACTCAGCTCATCAGTGTCATTCCCCCCATTATTACAACAAATGATTCAATATATGCATTATTGTGAAATGATCACCACAATAGTGTGTAGTTACCATCCACCACCTCACATACCTACAAATTTCTTTTTCTTGTGATGAGACCCTTTAAGATCTACTCTCTCAGCAACTTTCAGATAAGCTCATTTGTTCTATAAGTGATTTTTCTAAAATACAAATTTTTTTACAAAAATAATCTCATATCCCACGAGAGAAAGTTAACAGATGAGAGAGCCTCATCTCTCAATTTCTGGTATTATCAGTACTTTGAATAAAAACTACATGTGTTTTTCTGCCAGGACAATATTTCTGAACAATAATTTGTTAAGAGACTGGATTCCTTCAACAGATTGGTTTCAGTAACTGAGAAGGGCCCTAAGGGGCTGACTCTCAGAAGAGTGAAGTGTTGATAAGGGAACAGTAAGGAGCAGAGGAAGGTGGGTGAGAATGAGGCATGAGCATGGAGGCCTAAAAGTCACAGAGAAGAGGCTGAGACAGAGAAGGAAGGGACGGGGATGCCGAAGACAAAATTCACCTCTGCAATATTTTGTTCCGAAGCAGTCCACCTCCAGTAGATTAAACAAGCCCTTGTTTTCTGTGGTGTCCATTTGTTTATTGCCCGCTTTCCGTAAGATAGTCAATCTAGAGAGAGAGGAGACAGACTCTATCTCATTTCTCACTCTACTGCCTTTCTCCTTCAGATATAAGGAGCCATGGACAAAATATGTCCTTGCAAGGTCAAATCTAGCCTGGAATAAAATACTGGGAAAAAATTAAAAACTAAAGTAGCTTTAAGTTTTATGTAGTCCCTGTGAAACCACAAGCAAGAACTAGCGGCAGGTACCTGATGGAACATGAAGTCTTGTGCTCTGTGCTCTCTGCAGGGAGAGATGAGGTGATTCTTTGGATGCTGATCAAAATTCCCTGCCTCCCTCAGGGTAGCTGAACACTGGAATGACAGGAGTGCTGCGCCATCTTGTGGGAAGATACGTAGTAGCATCAGCGTTCATTTGCAGAGACTTTTATCTTCTTGACACAGACATACAGACACACACACACATTTGCTTTTTCAAGTAAGACTTAAGAACAAACCCTAAAGCTGAGCTGACAACTATAAAAGTACCATCAATTAAAGATATACTCTAGTAAACGTCACAAAAAATTAATTTATAAATGAAAAGGATTAGAATGTGACACCTCTCTAAACCCTTAATTTTTCAGAAAGAAATATAATAATAATATCTGAGAGTTAATGAATGTGTACTCTGTGCAAGATAGGTACTGGTCTAGGTACTTTATGTGTATTAATATAGGTCATCCCCGCAACCACCCTATGAGGTATGCCTATCATCATGCCATTTTACAGGTGAGGAAACTGAAACACAGAGAGGTTCACAACTTGCCCAGACTCACACAGCTGGTAGGTGGCAGAGAAGGAAGACAACTATGATCTTGAGCTCTTAAGCACTAGGTTAGGCAGCTTCTCTGATACACACAATGTAGCACAGTGAGACTGCATGTCATTAAGCAAGTCAGGGGACATAAGACTTTGAAAAGCATGTTCCTAGAGCATAAGACTCTGATTTTGAATTTCTTCCCCAAGCAGAAAAACAGAACTTCCTATGAGGTAGAACCTTAACAAAAACAACATTTTGAAAATCACATTTATAACGAAGTTCCCTTCTCAGAAGCATGGAATTTGAAACTAAGGGGCAAGATGCCTTGATACTCATGATCATTATATCATCACCATCATCCCTATCATCAGTGCTGCCATTGTCAAAACCATCATCCTCCTCATCATCCTCACTAGCATTTATCAAGTGCTTATCCTGTGTCTTTCACGGTGTTCTGTACCTTGAGATTATGGGTGTACAAACCCTTATTTTACAGATGAGGAAACTGAGGCCCAGTGAACCTGGGAGACTTGCCAAGACTCCACGAATAGTCAATGGTGCAGCCTGAATCTATGGCCATACACAGCCCAGGGCATTTCCCTCTAAACCAAGTCGCATTTCCCACTAGATGGAACAGTCATCAACAGTCTTCCACTTTTGGAAGAATGATGGCATGTTTTCCATCCAACTATCTCATTAACACTAATTTTCTCCAAAAATGCTTTGTCATTCCTCTGAAAGCCATTATCTTCTTTCTTTTCCAGGAATGACATGTTGTCATTTCAGCTTGGTTACTTCTGATGCAATGTAATCTGATTTTGCTAGGAACTAGCTATTCTTCTTACATCTGTTTGATCATTCAGCAACTAATAGGCATTTTCCACAACTGCTGATACAGGAAAGACAAGAAAAAGTACAGCTCACCTTACATACCCCGATTCATCCAAGCTGGGCATGATTCACGTATCTTGAATTTGGAAAATGCTTATGTCTCCAGATTTTTCCCCTGTCTTTATGGGAGAGGGGCTGGAGACTCAGGCATCAGAATGATGAGCCTGTGCACAAAACTGCTTGAGGTAGTGCCCAGGCAGACTGGTTGCAAGGGACAAGGGAGGTGGGAGGTCAGCACAGCATGGACCCTTCCCCCAACTTCCAAGGAAAGAAGAGGCTCTGACTCAGACACCCAATTGCTCTATGAAAACACATGAGACACCTTAAATGATGAAATTCAAGTCATGGTTTTCTTTAATAGAAGTAAAAATCTTTTTATTCAGAAAGAAAATCAAAACCTTCCAAGTCATATTTAGGTAATCTGTGTCCTTCCCACCCCTGAACCCCAACATGTGCATCAGACTTGCAGTTCCAGCATCAGAACCACTTGAACAGACCCCCTTGAAGAGATAAGCTATCTGGGATGAGAAGAGAATTTGCTGGAAATGCCAGATAAATAAAAGTGGATTGGAGCCTATCTGCCAGGAACCACACTTCTTCCCCAGCTATTTGCAGGAAGAGCTAGAGAAGTAGGTTGCTATGCCATTACAGGTCATTTTCTCTCCTGAGCTGCGCCACCCCATGCTCCTTTTTCATTCCAATTGCTGCATTTCTAGAGGATCATACTGCCATTTTTCTCCTCCCTGTCTTAACACCAATCGCACTTCTGGGCTGTTGTTCTCACTGTTGATGGTGTTAATCTCCATAGGAACCAATGTGACTCAGAGGGTCAATGTGTGCTTGGCAAGTCTTCTTACAATCACTGCCAGCATGTTACCAGCAATGGCAGCATAATCCACAGTAATCACATTTTTGTTTTGTGAATTTGCCCGTGAGTCATGCAGTTTAAAGGCGACAGGCTCAAAGGAAATCTTAGCTTAGCACTTTGGAGTAAATCCTATCACAGCCACCTTCTATGCAAGCTGCATTCCAACATCCTTCATTTCAAAAGTCATGGAGTCCACTACTTGCTAAGGAATGAGGCTTTCTTGGGTTTTTCTCTGCATCCATTATCCTGGTTTGAGGTCATTAATTCTATCTATAGATAATTAGAGCTCTTTAATAGAGCTAGTAATGATGATACAACTAAGGTTCTCCTTTTCATTACAAAAATCTCTTTTCTGTATTGTTGTTGCTTTCCTTTGGTAACATGAAATCTGCCCTGTGGCTCTCTACAAGATGACTCCAATGAAAGAAAGCTGTTTGGTAAAACTGAGAGGTGTCTCACAAAGTCTGAGTGGCTAAAGGCAAATTAGAGATTACCTAATCCAATCCCCAACCTACTGCAGATATCCAATAGATGTATCCAGAATCTTTTTGATTACTGTCAAACAACTAGAGTCTTTCTCTCCTTCTCATGGTGCACCATCCAATGGTGGCTTGCTCTAATTATTAGAAAGCCCTTTCTAACATTGAGCCAAATCTGCCCTCTGTAACTTTTACCCACATATTATTGTTCTGCTCTCTGGGGAAACATGAAACATACTCTTCCCTTCATACTTCCATTTTATCTCTACCAGAGTCCTCTAAAGAGTCCTCTAACACTCAACCCTTCCTACATAGACATTAGGACTCACTACATGTTTTTCATGTATCTATATCTTCCACCAAGTGAGTTTCTTGAGGATAAAAAGCATGTCTCATTCCTGTTTGTGTAGTGAGTGCCAACATTTGATGACACCCATTCTAATACTCCACAATGGTTTCTATTTCTCCCATGGTCATGCTAGTCCAGGCTAAACATTTCTGATTCCTTCAACTATTCTTCAAATCAGCAAGCAGATACTGGCCTCTTCCTGCCTCCTCCTGCCTCCTCCTGCCAAAAGGAGTACTAACGGGCAGAAAGAATGTGGACTGAATCATATAATGCCTCTGTGACAAAAACTATACTTTCAAATATCATGCTATGTGGTGAGGGTAATGAAGTAGTTCAAAAATTCTATAAAGGATGCCCTGGGTCCTTCAAATAGCCTTGAAACTCTACAATAAATGAGAATTTTACGACAGGAAGAGACTGTAGACATCACCTCATCCAATCAGTACCAAGGAGTAAATGGGGACCAAGAATCAAAGTGAATTGCCCAAGATCACAGAGCCTCTTACTGGAAGAGCTAACACTGAAAACTGTGTCCTCTTTATATCATTTTTCTTTACAACACACCACACTAACTCAAAGGGAATATGCCAACTGCTGTGTATGCTCCTGAATAGTTAACGTGATTTTTAACACAGAAAGTACCTTCTTAAATCTTGAGACCTAAATTTTAGCACTCTCTCTCCTCCTGTTAGCATTTATGAGTTACTAAATATTTTGACAGGGTTTTAAGGCTTTACAGCTACTGTCCCTGGCAATCTTAGTTTCAATCTCAGAAGACAGAGATCATGGCAATATAGAACCTCCAGAACCTGATGGAGTCTTCTCTGTGCTTATCATATGCCTGCACTTAGCAGAGTGCCTGGCAAATACCAGACATTTGAACAATGTTTCCTCACTGAGTAATAACTTTGTAATTATGCACTGATAAATTCAGGACAAAAGTTCAGATGCAGGCTAAAGTCCCCTACCATTTGACCTATTTCCTATTTCTAGGCTGCATGCCCAATAATCAATTGATTTACGTGCAGGGAACTTAAATACTAATGTTTATTCAAACAAAATATGATTGGAAACTCAAATATGCTTAAAAGTATATATACATACAAGACTATTCCAATTTGCAAATGGGTAGCATCCCAAAAGATACGTAAACTAGGGATTAGAACCTGAAACATATATTCTCAGGAAGTAAAAGGAGGAACAAAAAGAGTTGAAACAAGAAATAAAAGTAAAATACTGTTTCCACTAAAAAGAGACCGACATAATGTTCCCTTTGGGTTGGTGAGGCACGTTATAAAGAACATGATGTAGAGTAAAAGAAGAACTTGTTTCCATTTCTGAGTCCACCAGTAATGGCATCTATGACTTGGGTTAAATAGATTCCCAAGCCTGAGAAATAAGACACCATTTATGATACTGTTCATAAAGGGAACATCAGTCCCACATCAGAATGCAAGGCACTGGGAACCCAAATCTCAGTTCCTAAAAGAGCCACTTGCCAGGTGAAAAGGAAATTTGCTCCACACTCATTGCAATTGAAACAAAACTCCCATTAACCCTGAAGCCAGCACCCACGAACATTCTTACCCAAGCCACTCTACCAATGTACTATAGAAACTATCTTGTCCAATACAATCAAGAAAATTAAGTATAAAAGTTGGTTCAAGTTGAAAAATGTTTTAAAAAATACATACCTTAAATATTTTACTTAAGCTTCAAACATGCAAGTGTGCATTCATGCATCCATCTAGCAGCCACTACCTGAATTCCCTCCAAGTTATTTTTATTTAAGCCACTCCCAAAATGCCTCCTTTACAATTGGTAGTTTGGGTTTCTTTAGCATGCAAAACACTGACGCGTGAAAAGCAATCTAACTATATAAGCCTTCTTGATTTTTATATTTTAATTATATTCCAGTCTTTCAAAAAGATATCATTATTTTTCAAAGACACAACTCTTCTTTCAGATTCATAATTGATCTATAACATATATACAATAGATTATAATAATATTGCACGATTTCAAGTATAATGGACAAAAATTTAGGATGGGTTTCAGAATGAACGACTGGTTCTTGGTACACATACAGCTCAACTCCTGACAGCAGAAGGATGTGGGCAAACACAGTAGCCTGCTACCCAGAGGCGTCCAGCCATGCATCTGTACAGTGGGCACAGAGGGTAGCAGTAGCAGGTCATCTAGTAAATCAGTTTTCAGAAGTTCCTATTGTACTTATATCAGCGAAGCCTTTAGGAGTCTCACAGTCTTACTGATTGCTCAGCTCCTCTCCCTAAGTCTCCACTGACTGTACTTTTATAAGACCACCTGCATTAGTTTTCTAGGGCTGCCATAACAAATTGTCACAAGCTGGGCTGCTTAAACCAGAAATTCATCCTCTCACAGGAGGCCAAAATCGAGGTGCCAACAGGGCCATGCTTCCTCCAAAGGCTCTAGAAAAGATTCCTCCTTGCCTCTTTTAATTTCTGTGCTCCCACCAATCCTTAGAGTTCCTCAGCTCATGACATCATAACTCTAGTCTCTGCCTCCATCTTCACATGGCCATCTTCCCTCTGTGTTTGTGTATCTTCACATGGCCTTCTTATAAGACACACCTGTCAGTGGATTTAGGGTACCCTAATACCATATGACTCCATTTGACTTCATTAATTTCATCTGCAAAGACCCTATTTCCTTTTTTCTTTTTTAGAAAGAGAGTGCATACACAAGCATGGGGGGGGGGGGCAGAGGGAGAGAATCTTCAAGCAGACGCCCCACTGAGCATGGAGCCTGACACTGGGCTCAATCTCATGACCCATGAGCTCATGACCTGAGCCGAAACCAAGAGCCAGAGGCTTAACCAGCTGAGCCACCCAGGCACCCCAGACCCTATTTCCAAATAAGTGTACATTCCTAGGTTCCTGGTGGACATGAGTTTTTGATGGACACTATTCAACCTGTTACACCACACTATAACAAGTCCTCTCACTGCTAACTAGGCCTCAAACGTGCTATTCCTCTTCTAGAAATTCCCCTCCTCCATTCTTAACATGGTAAATTCACATATCCTTCATTCAATACTCAACTCAGATGTCACCTCCTCTTAACTTCCTCTCCAGCTGGATTAGGTGCTCTTCCTGGCTTGCTCCCTCAGAGCCCAGTCATTGCCTCCTTAATATCATTCGTTCCATTATACTGACATTGTCTGTTTTCCTTCTCTGCCTCCATCCTCACACCCACATATTCAATAACTACTGACTGAGCAATTACTAAGTGCCTGTACTATGCTGGGGCTGGAGACACAATAAAGGCTAAGACAGAAGTCCTTGCTTTTTGAAGGGTAGAATGCTTCAAGTCTTTAAAAGCAAGGAGCATATATTTGATTTTGGATCTCCAGAGCCTAGCATTCTATCAGATGTATATTAGGCCCTCAGTAAACATCTGTTGACGAATTAATGAGTAAAACTTTCAGAGGGCAA